ACCAAATTATCAGCTCGGGGGACGTGTGTTCGAATCCCACCACCACCGTCTGACTTCCCCCATTTGTGTGTTGTACGGCAGCCCTTTGACTGGCCACTTCTCTCTTCCTGAGAGTTGTGTCATTGTGTATTCAATAAAAGAAAGTAAAGAGGAAAAAAGTGCATTCGGAATGAAGCAGCGGAACTTGTTAATTGTCTACAAGTCACGAGTCGCAAGATTGCTATGGTTTGCTGAAGCGATTGCTATTAGTCTATGGAAACCCTTCCCCCTGTGTCAGCAAAAATAACCTTATGTTAGTCTCTCCCTACCCTGGTGATATGGTCCTTTTACCCTTCCCTCTTTTATGTTTTGTCTGTTTTTAATGTATTTTGCTTTACTTTGTTGCTATGTTAAAGCCCTATATAAACATTGTATTTTCTGCAGTATGTACCATGTTGAGATGCAGCGAAATCGTCGTGGACATAAATAATGCAGTACTGCAATATGGTCTTTTCCTTTGAAATTAATCTCGGGAAAGGCTTGTTTCACTTGTTAGTGTGTCAGATGCGCTTCAGGTCGTCTTCCACCGCGTTTTAGACTGCTGATAAGGGTGACAGTAAACTTTATTTTTTTCGACAATTACTTTCATTCTGAAGATGTCTTCGAATTTCACCCTTGTAACAATATATATGTTTTTCAGATGGATAGATAGCGTTTCATTGTATGATAGTCCATAGAAAAATTGGTACCGGGATCGCTCTCTGTTTTCCGTCGATGAACCAGAGACATTAATCTAAACTGGAGTAAACCAAACTGATATTGACCGTTAGATTCTTAAAATCCAAAAATGTTAGTCTGTGTATAGAACCGAGCAGTCTTGTTATCAGTAACGGTATGCAACGGCGTTACGTCGCGATTTAGGATATGTAACTGAAAGACATTTTTCACACACGCCTGGGTTCAGACTGTACCTGTCGAACCACGATACAATAATCTTTATAAGAAGAAAAAGGTCCCTGATTTGCTCGAGGGTATGATACTGCTAGGTTGCCCAGGCCAAAGCAAATAAATTTTCTTAGGGAATTCACATTCAAAGCTTTCGGTTAACCAAAACCTGACTCACAGGACATCGAGCCGGAGTCTAGTTCATCGGATCATATACGTCCGAAGTGCCGAAAACACCTTGATGCCCAATCGATCCGGTGATCGCTGCCACAACCATTATAATTGGTCTGGTTCGTACGTCTTCTTGGTTGGTTTGGAGTCCGGGTTTTTAGCCCATTCCCTTGAGTGAACTGTCAGTAGTTATCCGACCCGGTTATAGCCCGGGATGTTGGCTTTTCGTCCTCTCACATTAGTGGGACAACACCTCAGCCACAGAAAGACACTGAGTAGAGCTTCTTCAGCAGGGGCTGTTTGAGGCACTTGGTTGTATAGGAGCGTTTCGCGAGGTGCAAGGAAGGGATGCCCAACTTCTACCCGAGACACCCATGCCCGATCATACTGAAGCTTTCCAAGACAACCGGAAGACAGATGTTACTACTCATCCATTCAAGTATAAAACATGGTGCAATTTTCCGATCGTTTATCAGAAATAAAACGGGCTTCTATCATCATTCTTATCAGTAATCATAAACGGGAAGCTCATAGATTTAGATAACCTAAACGCAATCAAAAGCTGCGACATCAAAAATTGTAATCGGGGTTTCCTCATGAATCACGTCTCAAGCATTCTTTTGTCCAATTAGTCAAATGCAAAATATCACTTCGGTCTTGTAGGTTCGTTGACGAATCAGTCCGTACCTGCATGGTGGTGGGAGGCTTTCCATTGGAGTATGTCATCTGTCTCCCTTCGTTACTGTCGGACCAAATTAACTATCACTGAAGGTGACACCTGAACAAACATGAATTGGCAATTTGATTCAGCCAGGGTATGAGCTGGTTGGCACAGTGCTAACGCACACGCTTTCTATGCGATCGGTCCGGAGTTCAAATCACGGACGGGACGGTGAATATGCATTATTGATGAGCGCTAATAAGAGCGAAGCTCCAGTCTAGTGCTTCCGAGTGCATGGTTGAATCGATGAACTGAGGATTGTGCGTGAAGGTGAAGTCCGTAGGATAGTCAGCTCAAATCAATAAAAACCAATTACCCACACCACTACTCACAAGTAAATGTGAGTCAGATGCAATTAGTAATAATTCAGTTTGTTGAATACATTTTATATTTCGGTCCCATTTGACCTGAAGTCTCAACGGATTTCACCTTACTAATTTGATTATCGTTGGTTTTAGCTACTCACTGTATACATGCTAAACTGAGCTCTCCGTCAGAGGTCGATGATAGACTGAAGTAGTTCAGATATTTCTTTGACAAATGCACCAATCTGGCTGCTACGTCTCGTAAATGTCCGTGTTTGTGCTGGTATCTCAATACTGCACGGCTCTTTCAGTATTTATTACACACCATCATATGATGAACAGTAAAAAGGAAGGAGTACACCTCTTGGGTAAGAGGTCATGATGACGGAGCCCTCTGGCTTTGAGTAGCGAAAACCCTAATGTCCTCATATAATGTGCTTAATGTTGAACCGGAATGCGGAGCGGACCACCGCGAATGTTGGTTAGCCGTGGCTGGGTTCGGAACTCAAGGTATAAGGCGTGACAGTGATATTGTCCTCAGCCGCTTGATCACCACCATCACCATCATCATCATTCCATTATACGCGCTGAACAGAAAAATATGGTGACCAGTGTTGGAATCGACCGTTATGAACCGCAAATTGAGCTCCAGAACGGGTTTCCAAAATTCACAAATCACCATGATTAGACTGGGTTGTAATGAAGTAGCTATTAACCCGGTTCGTACATGATTGAAACATTCCTTATCCCAACTGGTGTTGTCAGATGTGTGAATCCAATGAAATTTTCCTTTAGTCATCCCTGAACACCGAACTTTCAGTGACTTGACTGTATGCTCCATCTACTGACGCGTGTGCTTCTTCCACTCTTTGTTGTAACCACTTTTATTACCCTACATTTATTATTGTCGTTCTGTTCATAACATTTTTTTTCACATTCCGCAAGAGACTCCAAAGAGATAGGAATTTTTTATGTTCTTTCTTCTATTTGCCACGTCGAATATGAAATTGATAAGGTCACCGCATTTCACTGTAATCCGGCATATAATTNTTTTAGTATGAGCAACCTTTCTCATTCCAGTTGTAGTTTGTTTGTCTGGAAATAAGAAAAAAACTAAGGCAATGTTACCGACATAAATTGGTTCAATGTCTATTTGGTTGTAGACAGTAAATATGTACATGATTGCCACGGTTTCATACTCATTCATGTCACTTGATATTGCCAGCCATTAAATCGGCTGACCTCGGGGTCTGTCGTTGTCGGTTGATCATTCTGACATGAAATTTTCCAACCATATCATACTGTGGTTATCCGTCACCCTTCTTGCGGAAGGCATCACCCATCAGGGAAATCTGTTCGTTGATGTACGCAACACATGCTTCTACTGTCACGAACCCGAACCAAACGATTCGTGCTCCAGAACAACAGTTGCCTAAAACTGAACCTCTCGTCTTTCCAAGTTCAATGTCACTTCACTCTGCACGTGGGATAGTGTTTTATCTCTCTTTTTCCTGCTGACGGTTTCCGGTCAAAGGGATCCGTCGCATTTGTTGTTCCTTTTACGAATTCCTTCAACTTGTTTATTGTTCCGTAACCACTTCTCTGTCATCATACCGAACAAACTTAATCCTCTCATGCCAAGTTCGGACCGTTATCCGTTAAAAATATCATTCCTTCCTATCACGTATTTGTCTCCTTTAGGATCACACGGTTCTTGGTTGGTTATCGTTTTCTCTATAGGACTTACTACTTGAATTCATATACACTACCGACTGTAGTTTATTCATTTGCAATGGACATTTTACTCTAATGACGACTTTAGTGTGGATAAACGAGAAAATAATGCTATCAAATAGTTCTTCGGTTGACTGTAAACGGCAGTGGTCAAGCAGTTAAGATCAACAAGTCATCGCCTCAGAGAACGCATATTCGAATTCCACCGCCCAGCTTTCCACTCCTATATGTCCCCAGGCAGCGCCTTAATGACTATATTACCACACCTTTCCTGAAAGTTGTATTGGATTTGTGTATTCAATAAAAAAAAAGTGGAAGGATTATTATCAAACAATCTTAATTGATACAGTTTCTCAATACTTTCCAGCTTTATGCACCGTATGCTCCCTCAAATATGTGACGATTAGTGGGTTACGCGATTCTCCCTCAATCCCCCAACACTGACTGAATTGTACTTTTATTATTTCAGTGCTGCCGCGATGATATCTTGGATTCCTTGGTGAAGATTATTACACTTATCATGGACCGGAACTACCTAAAAGTGAGTTCGTTTGCCCATCGTCGACGGGGTCACTTTGTGTACACTTGGAGAGTGATAATCCTGTTCCTCGTAGGGCTTCTCATTTGCTTTGATTTGACAGTATGTATATAATACATAGATATAAACGTACTCTTTTGGTCTTGCTAGTCTTTAATCGAAAGCCACATCGCTCACCAAACAGTTTCTTCTCAGATCTACAGAAGTATGACTTATGAGCCATTGGAATGTCTCTCCGAGTCCGTCATCCATTGGCGCATAGATGTGGTCATCACGGACGACAGATAAGAACAGACTATCGTTGTTTGAACTCCGCTGTCAATGCCTCATTACGTGACTGGTGGGCATCAGGGCCAGCAATGCTGAGTGTTTGATCTCGCTGCACACTGACACAAGCACTTGACCTCGATGAAACACTGTTTTTTTCTTCGCGTTGATGGTTGCCCAGATAATCGTGGCTGGATGGGGACCAAGGTTGTTCCAAGTGTAACTTGGCGTGGATATTTATGAACTCTGACGGGGAGGTATTTGGTCATCTAAACTTCCTCTTTAAGGACCTCTCAACTTGACTGATCAATTGCGAGAATAAACCGGGTGATATACGTACATGAGAGTCGTAACAGACTTCGTTTATCTTTTTCCACCACCGATTTACTTCTTTCCAGTGCTCCTTATTTTATCAGTTGACAAAATAGACTGGCATAAGACAACAACTGCAATTGACGCACGCAAGTGCCTGGTTAGTGGTTCTGTAAATGGCAGTGACCAACTAGTGACCTGGGTGTCCCGGGTTCAAACCGCTCCACCTCCGCCCGTCTTCCCTATATCTGTATTTTCCCCAGGCAGCCTTTGTATGGCCGCAGCCCCCTTTCTGGAAGTTGACTGTACATTTGTATATTCAATAAATAGAAAAAAAGTAAAAAGACATTTATTTTATTTATTTGATCAATCGGTCAGAGATCACACGTTTATAATGCTCACTGCAACTCATCATCCATCTATCCGACACATTGACCATATGTATATCCCCTGGTTTTGAGGGCCGTTTGTGTGCCTTATTGTTACCTGTTTGGAATCATTATTTCCAACTTCAACAGGATTTTACTCCTGGAGATTGTTTGTCATTGTATTGATCGAAGAGACTGTACTGCAGCCAGACCAACGTTTGCAATTACTGCTAGTGTTGTTCCTCTCGATTTCGTGGTTCGTTTTCAGTGACCCTGTTATTTCTGTAACTCACACCGGTCTCCATTTTGTCCACTGGAGCACAAGAGTTACCTCCATGTTTTGTTTAATATCAGGCACATCACAGGCATGTATCCCATTGATCTCGCATATGGTGGTGAGGTGTTCGATTTATGTCATTCATCGTGTTGAAAGGTTTTCCGCAATAAGGGTGCTTTTCACGAAACACCTGATGGATTCCACGTTTGTAGCACGAGAACCGCTAACGTATGAAACAGCCCGCGAGATTAGAGGGAAACGAAGCGGTTCGTTTCGCAAATCTGTTTGATGGCTACCTCCTCGTAGGGGAACACAAAACAACAGCGAAAGTGGCCCTTGTAGTTACTTAATTGGACCTGTATCACATTACTATATGCAATTTTAGTTTGTGCTCATCCTCATCTTTCCACCACTTTATCTTTTGTTTGTTTTATTTAGGCTAATGATGCCTACCTGGAATTGGCTATTGGCAATGCACCGTGGCCCCTGGGTGTAACCAATCACGGTATCCNTTACGCCAAGAACGTTGCCCACGTCCTAAACGATGAGACCCAGCGCAAGTACATTCAGGCGATTAAACGGCTCATGACTCAGGCGCAGCGGTTCTTTCCATCTGATCCATCTAAAAGTGTAAACTATATGGGTTCTGCCTAATTGATTTGAACCCCGAGAACCAGTTCTGTACATAACCCTTATTATCAAAAACGCATCAGTGGGGGACGTTATCGCAGTTAACTTCTTTCCCATCCTCATTCATAACTTGTAATACATGATGTGATTTATCATTTTATTTCTTTCCGTTAGTAGAATGTGGTCTATTGTTGCCTCTCAGTAAGGAAAAAATGCACATAACCATGTGAACGAACGAGACGAATGTGTATCGCGGTTTTTCGGCAAATACGCTTTTGTCCCCTGGTCTCCAGCACGGATTATTTATGTCGCTGACCTATCCGCGAGGTCGAAATATCCGGCTAAGACTATTTGGAACCCACGGTTCGTCGACGTTCCTCATAAATGCGGACGTAGTAGTAAGAATCCACCTATCAATTATCGAAATAACGTTCCGACAAAGTGCATTGTAAACATCTGGCGTGATTGAAAAAAATTCAAATGGTGCTCGTAGTTTTCTGTTATCGAGCTGTACTACTCGGCTTATCGTCCTTCTGTTCCAAGTACTTGGTTTGCATCTGTAGCTCACTAAATGGCCTTCTTACAAGCCTCGCAATACGCTCAATTTTGTACTTTATCGTTGCTCGAGTTGAATAAAAACACTTGTTTTTGTCGGAACCGTTTACTGGCGTATCGTGGAACCAGAAAGAATTCACGAGGTGTCTGTGGTGACTACCAAACAGTGCAGCGGCCAGGCGTATCACATATATCGTGGGCTAGAACAATGCCCGATTTTCATATCACCCTGAGCAGATTCACATCAGCTTTTTACGGCTTGCTATTGACTTGATTCCCACCCTGATATATTCCTCGGGATTGACGCAATATGATCTTTCGACTGGCTTCGCTACTCGTGACAACTCAACCCGTTCTGGATGTTCACTTATGCTCGCTAAGCCTCCTGCTTTGTAATGCCCTCGAGCATTGTTAGATTAGATTTATGGTGTCTGTGAACGGTGGAGTAAACACTGCAGCAGTCCGGCCAGTAGTGCTCTACGGTGCAGAGACTTGGCCACTACGGGTACGCGATAAAAACGGATTGTCGGTGTTCGAACACCGCCGTCCACGTCGTATTCTACGAGTCTGGTGGGGAAACCGGACTAGCAATGCTGAGGTTAGGAGTAGAGTTTTAGGCAGTCGCGGTCGTCCACTGGAGCCTCCTTGGTTGGGGACCTCAGGATGATGGTCAGGTACACCGTGAAATGGCTGGATGTCATGATCCCTAACACATCTATATGAATTCTAAATTTTCCGCTTGAATTTGCTTTTAACCTTCCAATCTTCATCCGGCTGTTTTATACAAATGGAGCACCAAAAGACAGCAACCAAAACCGGTGTTCGAAAGTGCATGGTTAACGGTCGTAGAAACTGAACTGAAGTGAACTTTGAAGGAACGGTGTTCCATCCCTTGAATAACTGGTCATTGTTCCAACGGGGTCACCGCGACTCACGCGATATTAGATACAGGGACACTTTGCAAGAAGTACGTAGCTCACATCTTCAAACGGTGTTTCTTACTAACAGTAAAAAGATCAGTCAGGAGGTTTAATGGAAAAAGTGTTTATATCTGCCCGGAAGTGGGTTGGTGGTGCCGAACCGAAGCTTTTGCTAACCATAGTCCAAATGTGCGTTTGTGTGCGTGGTGGTAAGTATTGTTAACCTGGAGGATTCGCTTCTGTTCTCCTCCACTTTTCCTGCAAAGATGAGGTTCGGAAGTAAAATGCTCACTGAACTGAACTGTAAAACATCGCCAACATCTCGGTGATGCTTCTTCAGTCTTGATTCTAAACTTGTTCAGGTCCGATCACATGACTTATGGTTGTGACCTAAGAACGTCCACATTCTTGCACTTGTGGGCTGACGGTTCTCACTTAGATTCGACTGACAGGTAATCCCATAGTTGAATGATTCGGTACCCACAAAAGGAGAGGTGACAAACAGAATAGACCCCGCGAAATCGGTGATCGCACACGATTAACTGGCACCGTATTACGTCTACGAGTGACGTGTATCCCGACTCGAAAGGAATCTCAAATCAAAACGAGATTAATTTGTATTATTTTACGCTCCTAGATTTAAAAAACATAGACCATATATAAATCCAAACTTTGCGTCTAGAACCACTCACAATAACACCTGAATATTAGATCCAACAAAAACAGATGAGGGATATTCTCAAAGCCTACCCCCGCGTGACTTTATTCTTCACCTTCGAACTTGAGCAATGTATTTTCACAGATCAACTAAAAATTCAACTACGTAATCGATTATTGTGAGTATGTACCCTGAATGCGGTGAAAAGGTCTGGCACGTGCATTATTACACATCTCAGGATGACCGTTAACAGTTTGAGCCCTCCCTGATAAGTTCATGCATTTGGAAATCATCTACTCATAAATAGTATATTTGAAAAAACTCAAAAACCCGATTAAAATGTGATAAAATAATTCTACCAACAACTGAAACAAAAATCATAAATTTCGAGGAGATGAGCACTAATAAATTAAATTTACAGATAAGTACTAGCTAACAAGGATAAACCTGTCGCATATGAATCAGAAAGGCTAGAAAGTAATCCGAAAAGGTCTCATCAGAAAACCTGAACCACGATAAATTGGATCTGGTTAAAGTTACCGGGCCGCAACCCTCTGGTAGTCAATTTGGCGATGATGAATAACGTCCATGAATCCGTGTACGTTCTTTAGAATATTCTTAATTTGAATCCAGAGGGCTTCACGTTCTTTGTATGTACCATGTTTTTGAGAACAAACAATCCAACTTAATGGTTTATAAATGGATGCACATATCCAATGGATGACAGCGATCTGTGAGCATGCATCATGTGCCCAAAAAACAATTCTTCATTGAAAATTAATCCACGATCTCTACATGGGCCGAATTTCGATTTATTCAAGTATTTGTGATGGTTGGCGTCGCGGATAAATGAAACCAATTGCCGGAAATGTAAATTTATACAAGTGTAATAAACATGATTGTACGAAGGAAAGGAGCAATCCACGAGGACGTTTTACTTAAATGCTTGTGTTTTACTAAGCAAGATTTTCCGCTCAGGTGTTTTTATAGGCTGTGTCCTGTTCAAACCCAGGCAACACGTGTGATACGCTTTCGCTTTGCTTCTGCACTTATTTTCTTGCATTGTTTAGTCGTCACATCGGTATTCCGCAGCACCAGGAGATCCTTGGAGCTTATGAGTGCAAGATACTGAACAACCTGGCAAGCTGCCGTCACCGTCCTGGGCATCAGAATGAACTGATCTAGCACCACGACACGCCAATAAACGTCTACGACCTCCACGAGAGTTTTTGTCTACCTCGGGAAACGACACACTAGGAGGTCGCGCGCTATTTCAGAAGAAGAAGACTTATCGGCAGGCCGTAAACATTGATTAGCTTCAAACTCGCCCACGTCCGTCCATTTCGGTTGATCAGTGTAACCTATGAAATGTACCAAGACGCCGTGCACTTGTTTTTGATGGACAAATGTGTCATTCGTTGCCACTACTTTCAAAACTGTAACTCCCGAATAAATCAACGAGCGACGCGTAGACGAGATTGGATCCCAAAACGTCAACAAAACGAACGATCCGGCAAATTTCTATGGTACTGCATTATTAAACAATCGAATAAGCAAATAAAAACTGTACAAACCTCAAAGTGATCTCAAAAAAACATGAAAACAAGAACCAAGTGTTACTGTGAGCGTAATTCAACAAATCTGAATAGAAGAAAATGATCCTAGGTAAGAATAGCACGCTCATCGTCACGCTGCACATGAACGAGCCAAATGTGAGCGCTCAAATCGCGATTAAAACAAGTAGGGTACAAATTGAAGCAGATAAACAAAGTCAAATGGTAGGAATGATGCGTAAATATACAAGGGGAGTGGAACGTCAAATGTCTACATGTATATGAGGCGGATGGTTTTTGGGGAATGGAACGCAAAATTCACGAAATGTGGAACCGAGATGGAATGAATGGGCTTTACAGGAAGGATTTTCACAGATCGATCAATACACCGCCCGGCGTAACCGCAAGACCCGGGGCCGAACTCGCGACAGGTGTCAAGGGTTTATTGCACAATATGCGCTCCACATCGATTAGCGCCGTGTTTAGGGCCTCGTCGTCGATGGACTGTTGATTACATACAGGCAATAAGATTCCTCTTACCGAACTGATCATACGCTCCCAAACCCCGCCTCTATAGCTACCGAACGCCGAGTTGAAGTGCCATCTGATAGCTTGGGAAGCCAGTCGTTCATGTACCTCGCTCAGGTCGACTAGGGACAGCCACCCTTGCAGCTCGTTCCACGCGCCCACGAAATTGGGTGTAAAGTGGAGCTGGTCAAGGGATCTCCATTGTTTAGTGTGAGCAGTACGGCAGATGTTGACCTACAGAGTTAGTCGCAGTA